AAAAAACACAGTCATTCAGAGCACTCTTTGGAGGGCAGACGGACGGCCATACCACCGAATAAGACAAGCGAAGGCCTCAGTATGAGGTAAAGGACGAGTTTTATCAGAAAAAGCCCGCCTCCGTTGTGGACGTTTAGGAAATGAGAAGGAATCATGATTTGTTTCAACAAACTAAGCGGTCATCTGGATTGATGAAATAGCCGCAGACAAGACCTTAGTAATAAATTCTATACTTTCGAGTTCCTATGAGGATTCTTTATTCTGAAGTTTAAGTTTTCAACGCATTTAACCAGAAGGTGGAAAAATGTAGACGCCCATACAGTATTTCGATCTCTCCCACGCATTATTAAGCATCAAGGTCTCCTCTCAACTAGGAAAATCAATTGAGCGGCCTCAAACAGACGGCAGGGAAATTTGGAAACCTTGAGAGTATCTCTTTCCCTACGAACTACACTTGTCGAATGAAGAAAACGAAGCTGATTGAGGCTTTCGACGACGAAATTGTTTGCCTAAAGAGAGCAATAAACATCTAAACTCGTGATGCGGAGCTCCGGTTAACGTTTTATGCTGCAAATGTTAATTTGAAGATGACAAACTTGTTCGAAAATCGGATTTTTTTTAGGAGCGCCATTTGTTGAGGTAGTCTGATGGTAAGGTTGGGTTGGGTCAGCTCTTTCAGAGCAGTCTGCTTAAATGACAGCATTACTTTTGGAGTGGGTGAGGAGTTTAGAAAACTAATACGGCTATGCAGAGTGACGCTGAGCACAACCTTCAGCTCCGTCCAAATTGGGAAGGTCCTCTCCGCGCCGTTTGAGACCAAACGGGGTTTTAGACAAGGCCATTCAGTCTCGTGCGACTTTTTAAATCTGATGTTGGAGCTGCAATTCTGAATCGTAGCGCCACCATATATAGCAAAAGAACGATGCTGCTGGCGTATGCAGATGAAATCGATATCGTAGGTCTGAAACAAAGGGACGTAACCGCAGCATTTTCCAGTTTAGAAAAGGAAGTTAAAGAGCTTGGTCTAGCGGTGAACGAGGGCAAGACAAAGTACCTCCTTGCAACATATAAAGAGTCCACGCCTTTCGAGACACACGTCACTGTTGGCAGATATAACTTTGAAGTATTGACGGACTTTGTCACCTAGGATCCCGCATAAACACCACCAACGACGTCAGCCTCAAGCGAAGAATAACTCTTGCCAACAGGTGCTACTTTGGGCTTGGTAGGCAATTGAAAAGCAGAGCCCTCTCTCGACGAAGCAAAATCACGCTCTACAAATATTTCATGATGCCCGTTCTTTTATATAGCGCAGGAACTTGGACGATGTCGAACAAAGATGAGAAGGCTTTGGGGGCTTTCAAGAGAACTATTCTACGCAAGATATACCCTATTTTTGTGGATGACGGGTATCGGAGAAGATGGAATGACGAACTGTATGAGCTTTTTAACAACATGGACATAGTTAAGCGCATGAAAATACAGCGATTACGCTGTCTTGGACATGTTATACGCATGGATGACGGCGTTCCGGTGAAAAGGTCCTTCGACTCCGTACCCATGGGTGGACAATGAAAGCAAGGGCGCCCACGAACGCATTGGAAGGGCCATGTGCAGAAGGACCTGTCTGCGCTCGGGATAACCAACTGGCGTAAATTCGCACAGGAGATAAGCAATTGGAGAAGCTTTTTGGTCTCGGCTCAAACCGACAAACGGTTTTAGAGTCAAATAAGAATAAAAGGAAGAGGAGTTTAGAAGTATCTGAAGCCATCGGGGCAATCGCAACCTTCTTAATCAACTAAACCTTTAACTGAGTAAGCTAGCGGAGTGCTTGAGATGAGCAGATATAATAGAGCGGTCGTTGGAGTGCTCCAGAGAAAAGTTGATGGATTTTTGGAATTTAGATAACCTAAGTATTCAACGGTTACTGAAGATACTCGAAGGTACGAAAAGGCGCCAATGAATTAATGGCTGAGCAGAAGCTCAAGGAGTTAGATATCATACCTAAAGTTGAAGCAGCAAAGTCCTCTTCTAAAAGGCTTATTTTTGTTGGATTTCTTATGACTGCAAACAAATGTTATCTTCTATACAGCTAAATAATAAACACAAAATGGTTACAAGGTTAATAGAAAAGGGTACAAAGATAAAGCATTTTGCGGCTTTAAGTCTAAATTCTATTTCCTTGAAGTTCCAATGGCCTCAAAATTTTGTCTGTATTTACTGAAGTATTAAAATTTTTTAAGATCACTCACTTACCCTTTAAAAAAGCAGCATTTTAATGGCTTTACATAGAATCTGCAATAAAGAAATAATAAAAATTTTATTTACTTAATGTCTCCACCTAGCATAAAACTCATTGAAATACGTACATAGCTAACTAAGTGCAATGCTTTTTCTACGGCTAGCCTTGTGCTACACTAAGGCATAAACAAGTTTTTTTTTGTTTGCGAGTACATTAAACCGTAATAAAATGTTTATGAACTTTCCATATGCGTACATTTTCGTGACAGATAATCACTTATTAAGCAAGAGCGCGAGCAAACCAAAAACAACAACAAAAAACGTAGATAAACAAGATTAGGCAAAAAAAAAACGCACAGTGATAGCGAAAGTTTCCATTTTCAAGCTCGAGCGGGCGCTAATGACAGATGCCAAAAAATGTTAATAGAAACCTGTATGAAAAAGAAGTAGCTTTGACGAAAAAAAGTAAAAGTAAACTTGCTGACATTAGTGGCGAAGTAGCGACATTATCTGCAACACAGACCAACAGCTGCAACAAATTGGCGAATTGGCGGCAAACGGCGACAATCGCCACAGTAAACCACTTTCATTTGTGCGCTTTAGTGACGGCTTGGTATAATCAGCTCAGCCTGATTAGGCCGAAAATGGCTGGTTGGTGATTTATGAAATTAGACGATGGACGACAGATAGTGTGAGGTAAAAGGAAAAGTTTTAAGTGGTGGTGAAAAATAATAATAAAAGGATATTTTCACGAACGAAAACCTGAATAAAATATGCATACATACATACAACGCTTCGCCTTATCCTAAATAGATACAGCCAGGCAATTGTTTTGAGAAGATGATTTGGCTACGAAAGGTTAAAAAGAACCGATGTATTTTGGAACGAATTTCCGATGCCCCTGTTAATTTTGCCTCCTTGGAGAAAACCCGTTTCGGCATCTCCAGTGTAATTTTACGTTTCAATCAAAAATAATTTACTAAGAACCCTTTAATTCGAAAATATTTTTCTATATAATTATCGATATATTTATCGTTAACATTACCGACGCATTAACTAACGCTATGCTTTTCGCCAGAATCATCGAAATATTGATCGATAATCACGAACACAGCGATGGACACCGATCTGGGTATAAATAATCCATGGAATCACATTGTTCCTGAGACTAAACGTTTATGGGTCGCTTGAGGACGTGCTGACCTAAATTCAAAACCTTCAGGTAAAGAAAGGCTATGACGATCGGTTTTTTACCTGATAATTTTGATAAGATGTTTGAGAAAGGGAAATCTCCTTATATGTATAAGGGAGTTTTTTAATCAAGAAGAACACATAAAAAGCCTGGAACTTCTACGAACTAAAACTGCTTGTCCGTTCGCAGTACCATATACCTCCCCGGTACTTCTGTTAGTTACTTCGTCGGGAGGCGGATATGAGCACTAACCTCTATCGTACGTTACTGTCTTAGCGCTGTTCGGCGTAAGCTGCACCAGCTTGTCACCACCCATATGACTAATTTAACCCACCTTCCTCTCCCACCCCTTCTGTATACGGGTATATCTGTATATCTGAAGATCAAATAAGAAGAAAGAAGGGCAAGAAGTTGTAAAAAGCTGCATTCTTATATAAGTATGAACGCTTTCTAGAAGACTGCCAGGCCGAATTTGGTTGGGATATTTGCATAGTTTGAGCAAAACAGTCAAGTGGTAAATAGCAGAGGATCGAAATTTTTTGCTTGTCTCCTCTTCTTAAAACTTTAACGATGCTTTCATTTGCCGAATCTAAACAACAGCAACTCTTCCGCCAACCTCTAGCTGACTTCTGCTGAAATTCCACACAATCTGCGCACGCACGCCTTTTGGCTCATTGACCTCCAAGCCTCTGCGCCACTTCAGCTTCACTTTAGCCGCGATTCAGCCGCACTTTAAAGCCTTCAACTTCAAAGTGCATTAAAAAGATGTAAACTCTTTCGAGAGTACCCTAAGCATGCGAGCGATTTATCACCAAACGGTCGGTGTACGCAGCGGCCGAAAATGGCCAGTAAAATTTTCAAGTTCAACAACAAAGCACACGCAAGAGCCTAAAGTATTATGCCATGGCTGTATAAACATTAACAACAATAATAGTAAATAGAAGCGGCGACAGCTGCGCACAATTACGCACTTGAACAGCGCAGAACAGCGAATACGCGAAAGAGGCGAGCGAAGCAATCAAGGTAAAAAAAAAAAAAAAAAAATAATAATAAACGAAACACCAAATACCTTGCAACAGCCGAGAGCCGCAGAGCTGTGAGCCTCACAACCAAAGTCAAAGACGCCATAAAGCGCACTTGAGCAGCGCCTAAGTCAAGGTTAGACACGGTTCAATTACCTCTGCAGCAACTCCTCTACGCAGACAGCAATTTGAGGGACGGGCGCGTTGGCTAATGATGATGATGATGAGGAATGCTCTGTTGGTGAGTAGAATCATGATGACGCTGCTCTGGGAAGGCGCTAGCGGACATCGCCACGTTGAAGGCAGTTAGACGGTGGCAGTCAGCTGGTCAGCCATGCGTAGTCGCCGCTTTTGCTTTTGATTTTTTTCTGCGTCGCTTTGATTTCTGCTAAAAGCAAAAGGGGGGACAGTAATCTCAACCCGGCGCCATTTAAGCGCACGAAGTTGATGACTGGAGAAAAGCAGCGAAAATTAAACAGAAATGGAAAAATGTCGCTTGAGCGTTTGACAGCAAAAAATGTAAGCCGACGTGCCTTGGCGCGCAGGCGTCTCAAATCAAATAATATCCAATTAAAAAAAAATAAAATTGCTGGCCAATTGTTGACAATTGAAATGCAAAGCGCCACTTGCGCTCGAAAAAAATATATAAATGTCAAGTGCGCGGCGCGAGTAATATCAAAAGGCAGCACTGTCTGCGTTGGCCACACGCCGGTTGGAAAGCAGCACCGCGTCATGGCACTAGAAGGTCGGCATGATTTTTATATGCCAAAAAATGCGAGACAAAATAATCAAATGTTGGACAACGCAGCACGCAAGTCTAAGCAAGAATAGCGTGATACTTGTCCTTAGACCAAAACTGGTCCCTATTATGGAGAAAAGTTTTTATGTAGGTTGAAATCTTACCGTTTCGTGAGGCTTGTTAGTTTAATTGAACTCTGATCTGCAATGTAGTATATCATTGGCGCAAAAATATTGCAACCAAGCTAACTTAATGCCAGATAGTTTCGCAGAAAGTTCTTTACTATGTTCGTTGGACATATTTCACGTCGTAACCTACTTGTTTCTGCGTTGTTGACTGTAAGTGACCAAAGGAGACCACATCCCAGGCGTAAGTCACTTGCTCAAGTTCTGTCTCAACCGTTTTCCTTGTGGACTCGACTGAGACATCTTATTGCCCATAGACGTACCACAGATGGACATCCCGCTATTGTAGCTATTTTAGGTGCTTTGACCATTTGGAAAACCTTTTGAGTCAGGCAACCTAGTTCTTGGTCGAGAGGAGTATTGATGGAAAGAGGTCTCAAGCTTACTTCCAGTGCTAACTTATTAGTTGATTAGATCTGGCCTGGATATGTTGCGAAGGCTCTTCCAATCGATTGATAGTGATTTCTATCTGGAAAGTGGGATAAAAGGGTCTAGTTAGCTTGAAATCAGCCGGCGGTTAGTGAGAACAAGCGGTAAATACTGCCGACCGTCTAACTTGGCATTACTGATTCACCTATATAGAGTTATAGTTGAACGATAACTAAGAATTAAACCATAGAGAGAGGTCAGGGATTCATCAGACGATCGATTGAGGAAACATCGGTAAAAGATCTGATCTTCCATAGTTCAAATAGAGAACGGATCTCACTTGTAGTGATGCGGTCTCGAGCACTAAACAAACCAGAAAAATGGAAATATCCACTACCTTAGATCGTGTTTTGCCATTCAAGAGCTCACACTGCTAAGACGGTTCTTAATCATATGAAAAGATATTAAGAAAACTTAGAAAATATGGCCGTGAGATAGACAGCTCAAATTCAGCTTAACTCAAATTGATCACCGAAAAGTTAAATATACATAGAAATCTGCTAATTACTTCCTTAGAACAATCAGCATAGTTACCTGCAAAGCGGAAATCAAAGAGTTTGACAGCGCTGTGTGCGTAGCTTCCGTTTAAACAACAAAAAGAAAAAACCCGTCAGTGATGCAAACATTTTATTATTTTCGATTAACTTTATTCTATTTTCACATGGGTACTGCAAGGGGAGCAATTCGATAGCGTCATTAGCCACCGGAGGCCGCCGTAAACACATTGACGCACACAGGAGCAGAAAACAGAATAAACAGCAGCAAGGTGAAACGCAAGATCGTCAATCATTTTCTGAAATACCCACTGTTGGTATACGGCGTAGATATCAACCGAGCTGACACATAAACTTCCCACGGCTGCGTTTGCCCTCTTCACCCCAGATTAATTACTTAATTACAATTTCCTTTTAAGAATCGCGCTTCGCAAACTAAATCTTCGCCGGATGTTCCTCTACCTGTTGGTCGCCATCCCAGCGCAATCGTTTTGCAATTTGTCATTAATTTTATAATTCGACAAAGAGGCCGGCCCAACTGGCCGACGCGACTAGTTGGCGAGCTAAATAAAGCGCTGTCAACTAGAGGCGGAGTAGTAGACGTTGTTGGGGTAGCAAGAAGGCGAGTTGGCGCTAGAAAGTTGCGCGTGAGATGCTATTGACCTCAGTGCTAAGCCGCTTGGAAGCGAGCTCAGTCCACATACATACATACATATGTACGAGAAGCAGAGATGGAGAGAAACAGCGGGTAGCTGGCAATGCCAAGATTAATAGCGCCAGCTGTTGCTTTCGCGCCGCATGTAGCTGGTTTAATTGTACCATAATTGCTGTAATACGCAACGATTTTGTAGCAAATTTGTAGCAGCAGCAATATTTTAGGATGCGAACAGGCAGACAAACATTTTTCAAATAAATGTGAGGCGTTCAATTTTGTGGCAGTTATACTGGAAAATTATTGCAGAGTTGTTTTTTCGGGGAACGCCAAGCATTTTG